CCCAATATACACACAGTAACTCAGACAGCATCCAACTCAAAGACCTCATCAGAAGAGATACAAAGTAGCAGCTTTGACTGAAGCAAAATGCTGCACAGCAAGGAGTGAAATAACTGGAAAAACAGATGCTTAATTTCTACTTATTTTTGGCAACCTTGTTCCTATGATACCTGTTAGATGAGGGGAAAAAAGCTGCTGAATGCTGCTTAGCAAATAATACATGAACCACAGCCACATCTATGGACTATCAGGGTGGCACTTAATCCAGCCCTATTGAAAGTTATTTTTCTTTTGATCAATCCATAGAAGGGGCTAAAGTAATGTTTCCATATGGGTTTTATTCTATTATGCAAGATCTGGTGAACTACATTGTCTGAGACAAAGGGATTAAGTGAATTGAAGTGGTGTTTTGGGCTTGGTAGTGTTTTAAGAAGTGTCTTCACCCCATCTCTTCAGCCTTGGGACAAGAGACTTATTAGCTAATTACTATGCAAATTGACCAAAATGTAAATTAAATGCTACATTCTAACATAGCTTAATAGCCCCAGCGGCAAGAATTTAGTTAACTTTAATGGACTGTAATTCTATCCAAAAATATAGTTTATTAACAAGCACACACAATAAATTGCACCACTAACTTTAAATAAAACATCTAGCAAGCTCACCTTCACAATAAGTGACGTTTGGTTAATACAGAGCAAAAAAAGCAATACACATATGCTTTCAACAGACATAGAATGAACTCAGTTGCAATCCAAGTTCAAGTTGTAATCCAAAGAAGGGCACATAAAAGCAAAAGCAATGAAGACTTCACATGAACCTTGCCATTTCTTTCCACCAGACCTTTGGTCTCTTACAAAATAGGTCTGTAATACAAAAAGTAATAAAAACTCTGGATTCAATTTACTCAGCCTCTTCTATCGCAAGTTAACTATAACATTTTGCAACAACGTGAGTAGTATTAAGAGGGAGGTTAAGAGGCAAAGATAGTTAGTATCTTGGAATTGCGTAAGTTCAGCTGCAGATAGAGAGGCTGCCTAGCAGCAGGCATGGACTTCAGTGTCATTGTCCCAGTTTTTTTGCAAGAAATACAAAGATGGTAAAACACATTCTTCTCTCTCACCAATTAAAACTTGATCCATCCTCCACTGACATCAAGGCAAAAGTTCTTCTGTTATCAGTGGCACTCTGACAGGGCCACAGTGGCCTTCAAAAAAAAGAGTCATCCTCTCTAGTGAAAGGTTTGTCACTCTCCAGTCTTCAACTTGGCTGTGATGTCAGTAAAACCTGACACGCTGTTACCACACAGGTGTCCTCCCTTCATTCCAGAAAAAGGGATTCAGCAGAATTTGATATGTAAGAATTGAAGCCAACTTGGCAATAAACAGCTCCGCTCTGCTCAGTGTAAGATCTTAACCTCACCGCAACGAAGTAAATAGAAGGTTTGTAATGAACTTCAGTAAGAGCCCAAGCATCAGGCCAAAACAGAAAAATACGCACTTCTTGATATTAGACCTTGTTCTTCGCACAGGAAAGGACATTTGTATTTCTGATCCTCCGGGGGAGTAACAGGAAGGTTCCCAAGAACAGTGCTCCAAATGTAAGTGTCCACGGTAAAACCGCCCAAGTAGCATTTTTAAACAGAGATTACTCTGTTTCCTTTGTGGCAGAACAAAAAGTTATCTCTATAAGCAGTAAGGTCCCAGTTTTATTAACATGGTGCCTGTTACCACAACATAAACAAAAATTATGCCTGTGCTCCCTAATCACATTAGGTGTTAATCTTTTCTCAGCAAAAATTTATAGCAATATCAATGGGTTAAAGACTTATTTTCTGTCATTTCTGTCCTGCACCTTTCTCTTCACAATGTCTAGAAAAAAACCCCAGAAACTTCTCCTGTTCCCACCCTGAGCGAAGAGTTAAGATCTACTTTTATGAAAAAAAAAAACCCCTTTAAAAATGGTCATTTCTTTCAACTGCTGGAACCAGCTTTTTTGCAGTACAAGGAAAAATTGATCTCAATGTGAAATAACCTGATGAACAAAAGCAAGCTATCAAAAATTACCTAGGAATAAATGCATTAAAGAGAAGCCCAAGTACTGTGACACCTCCTATTGAAAAACAAGTGATGCACAGTTCAATCAGCAACAAGCTCCCTCTCCCCTCTGCAACTTGCATAGCTGGCTCTTATGTTAGCTGGTTATGAAATACTCTTACAGTAGAACAACTTTGGAAAAATTTGGACAAGTGAGAATGGAGTTATTCTAATCTAGAACAATATCACCCAAAGATACAGATGAATACAAACACTGTTCATATAAAAAAAAAAGAAAAAAATCAGAGAAACACGAATTTAAGCTGCATTTTCAATCTATATATTGGCTTTCCTCTTCCTTGTTTTATAAAAATAGGGTATGACATTTCAGCTTCAATTGCGTATTTAAGTCATCTATTCATTGAACATTCCATTCTTGAAATATCATCTATTAAAATGTTAGTTAAGATTCATCCTGCTTATAGAACAGACTAGAATTTCTCCTGAAATGCACTTGTAGACAATAATAAAAAGACTGATATGAACTCAAAAAATAATTAGATTATGGAAAGAAGAAAGAAAAAAAAAGATTTTAAAAAAAAAAAAAATCAAGCTCCACTCTTACTATCTGACTGCTAATAAAACAAAAGCCAATGCCTTTTAGCTGATCAAAAGATTTAACTCCAAAATAACATTTACAGACTGAATTCAGAAATAAACTGTGTTTTAAAGTCTATAAGTTGCTATAAAAAAAAGGACAAATAAACTTCCAACAAAACATCTCCTTCAAAGACAGAGGAAGCCAGAGTAAAAATAGTACTGAAAATTCCTGATCAGAGTATTGTATAAAAAAAAAAATCAATATTTGTAACACTACCACAGTTCTCTTACCATCCATTTAAAAAAATGGATTCTACACTACACTTGCACATTTCTGACATAGGTATAATTGTACATGGGCAATTTACACCTCAATTGTGTAGTACTGAAGGAAAAGAAAAAAGCTGAAGATTCATTTTGCTGCTTCGGCGGTAAATCCCGCCGGGTGGGAAGGCCTATTGGGGATACCAACGTTGAAACAAATTAGTGAAATGACAGAGTCAGAAATCCAATAGTACAAAGTCTGCTTGGACATGGCTCTTTCCCCTACTGCAAAGCAGATTTATTAAATGGGATTTATTTTAGAAAGTTTCACAATTCTTAAACAGTAGATGATACTTGCATTCCTGAAGGATTAAGTTCTACATTTCTTAATGCTAATTCAACTCTCTAAAACCAACCCAATAAAACCAGCAAAGCTTTTACAAGTAACATGCACCACCTAAAAATTCTACCCTCAAAAACTGCCTTTTTGGTACTCTTTTAAGCTCTTAAGATACTCTATTTATTGAAGAGATGCCAGGAATCCTGCAGCGGGAACAAATGCTTCTTTGGCAAAAGGAAAACATTTTAATGCCTCCTCCCTTCAAAGTATGCACACCTCACCACAACATATGCTAATATACTACCAAATAAGTCTCTTTATCTTGCCATCTTTATAACAAACTGTTTCATTCATATCTATTTCAGCTTGTAACTACCTACTGCACAGAGTGGCACACTGTGCTAAATCAGCAAGTAGTTTCTACCTAAGAAATATTAAGTAAAAAAAAAAAGAACACATTGTATTAAAAAAAAAATTATATATTCCAAAACAAGTCAAGAGGGGCAAATTCTGTATAAACTGTTTCAGTGTAAAATTAAAATTTTAATTCATGCAGACATTTTGGGCCTTTTTTCCATCCTTTGTCCTTTATTCAAAATCTGACAAAAAAAGGATTCCCACATATATGATAGTGAGTGGAAATTTGCATTAAATCTGCCATTAATATACAAAACTAAATGTTACAGCCCTTCTGTGAAGATACCTATGTATGCATATATATCTATGCATGGAGATACACATACCTCCCCCTCCCGGATTTCCAGCCTTCTCCGAGGTTAACACACTCCACTGACAAACTTTCACAAATCAGCCAAATGCTGAATCTAGAAAAAGATGAGGACCAACTCTTCACACATCTATAGTCTGCAGTTGTAAAAATATAATAAATATAGATAAATATTTACTACCATATTACTATTTTTTTCAAGCGAACATTGTACTTAAAGTCATCTTCCTCTTGAAGAACTCAAAGAAGCAAAAGGGGAAGTGTTTTTAACAATAAAAAACTCGAGTGATGAAAATAAAGAAAACACACCCTCAAACATGCTGGAGCAAGACCACTTAGTGTAGACATCAGTACCGGCCTTCCTTACTGAAACAGGATCTTTAGTCTCCAGACATATCCTAGTTACTCCAATTAAATCACTGTGGCTTCTAATGATACCAGAAAGAAAAATCTGCTTTTAATATGTGGATTTAAATAGCACTGTTGACTGTCAAAGACTTGGTACACAACTGGGATAACTCTGCTGGGGAAAGTACTATGAGAGGAAGAAATTAAAACTAAATTCTATGGGAAAGTCACTGGGATCCTTCAAAGGTTTCTGTAGGCTTAGATCTATACAACCCGAATGAGGGGGGAAATAGCGAAAACTGGCTTGTCGTAACGGGACATTTTTTTTTTCCTGTTAGAGGAATGAAAACTGCCTCAAATGATGCAATGGGTCAACCTGACGACGGCCACATTTGAAAAATACTGGAAATCCTGAAGTCAGAGCTTGTGAATTTGTTTGGTTTGTATGCTGTCCTGGAGGAAAGAGAAGTTAATACTTTTAAAAGCTTGGTATTTACACTTCCGAAAAGTTTCTGCAATTCATCCAAATTTGATAGGGCAGGATTTAAGTGCCTCTTAGTGTTCCCAACTGGGCACTTCTGCTGCTTTGGCACACGCACACACACACAATATTCCAGTACCAATGGGATGCGACGTCTAATGCAGCTTTAAACTGGCAGCACTCCTGAGTGGTTTTAAATGTTTATCAACTCAGTAGGTCAAAAGTCTGCAGACACTGGGTGGAGCAGCAGTATGCCACAAAACTAACAGCTGTCCTCCTAGAAAAAAAAAGAGGGGGGGAACAGTTGTCACTAAAGATTAAAGCTCCTGGCCCCATTCCACAGCAGACAATATGCTGGTTTGTAAAATACAGGATTAGCTGATCCCAACACTTCAGAAAAAGAAGATTCATTTGCTCTATATGAGTGCCTGATACAAAGGCAGGGAAACACTGCAGGGGTTCTCAAAAACCTTCCTGGTTTCTTGTGTTTTCAGTTTAAAGCAGCAGCATGTGGTTTTTCTTTCTGTGGAGGGTGTGGCTGGGTGTTATAGCCAGTAGGTTTAACAGCTAAAAGGAAAATAGCTGGGTAATTCTTTGCTTCAGCTTTGCTCATGTGTTTCTTAAGTTACTGCTTGTAGGCATGAAGTAACTGAAGCCCAGTGTCCTCCTTTGGTTGAGCCGAGTGAACAAACTGGGCCCAGATCTTCAGAAAGGATGATCGACAGGCAGTGCTGTCGCATTGTGCCAGGTACTACAGCAGGGGTGGCAACATGAAAGCGTGATGGTAGCCTCACTGTGACCCTCCTCCTGCCCCCATCCTGGCCGGGACCTAGATATCTGCTTTAAAAATGTTAAGATCTGTTTTTTACTAACCTAGAAATCACACTTTACCCAGTGCTCATCTGTGCTTTTTCAGATACAGAAATCCAGTTCAACACTTAACTATCCTTTCCTATAAGAGGATACAGAATATGATATGGAAATTGAGACAGAAGTTACTGACATGGATGTGCATGTGCTAACCAGTGCTGTTCAAATGTTCAGGATCCCTACCCTGTGTGTTTTCATGGCCACCGTAAGCTCTTTAGAACGGAAACCCTGTCCTTCACATCTTTCTAAACCAGATACCACACCTCTACAATTCCCCATAATCTTACCATGTCAAGTACACAAGCTAGAGAGGTAAGGATGACAGGCTACCCTGTTTAGATATCATTTTCTGTGAATTTGTATCAAATGTCAGCTACTTAAGACTGTATTCATTAAGGCATTTTGCACTACACAGTACCTTCTTCTCTAAGGGAAGGAATGATAACCATTTTTTAAACAAGTGAAAACCATGCAGAAATATGTGTTTTCAATTAATATATTTTAGAATGTTAATATAGTGTTCTTCCAAAATAGCCCTGAAGTATGTTTTTCTTGAATCGTAACTTTAATAATTCCTAAAGGTGTCTACTGATAGGTCTATCATCTCGTAACCTTAAGTTCTATAATGAACAATGCTTAGCAATTGATTAGAAAGTAAAGCTCTCTACTCTAGTCCAAGCTCTCCCATTGTTGAATTATTTCAGATTATATAAGGATTTAGTGACCAGCAATTAGTTTTCCATCACTTTCTTAGAAAATTATACTGTTCAACGCTTGAAAGACATTCTTTATAGCACGATAATAACATCTTATGCCTCTCTGAATATTAAGACTGTAATGTGGAAGGAATTTATTTTACTCGACATGAAATCCATTGAATTTCAACATACAACTGAAGTGTAACAGAATGGTAAGTTGAAGTATGCAATCTCTACAATCAGATCTTTCTAAGAAAGATGACTGTTCCAAAACAGCATTTATGCAGCCTTCTGGCTGCTGTCCAGATTTGGCATACCTATGTTGTTTTCATTTCATAAAGCTGAATTGCTTACAAATCAGATACTTCTTATGCCACAAACTCACAGCAAAATAAGCTGTGATACAGCTGTGGAAAATAGATATCATCAACCTGAATCACCATTAGTCTCTTCTTTTTTCTTAAAGATCTTCCTATTGAAAAGCAGTTTCTTATTTTCATGTAAGATAACTATCAAATCAATTTGTTTTCATTTCATAAAGCTGAATTGCTTACAAATCAGATACTTCTTATGCCACAAACTCACAGCAAAATAAGCTGTGATACAGCTGTGGAAAATAGATATCATCAACCTGAATCACCATTAGTCTCTTCTTTTTTCTTAAAGATCTTCCTATTGAAAAGCAGTTTCTTATTTTCATGTAAGATAACTATCAAATCAATGGATATC